TGTCTAAGCTTTGAGTGTTAGAGGTTGAATTGAAATCTCTATTTTTTGGTGTAAGATAGTTTTTACTTGTACTGATATTAAAAAGAACAAGGCAAATAGCACTATCAAATTCAAATTATTTACCATTGTTAAAGATGGAAGTAAGAAAAAAAGATGTTCCAATAAAATTCCTATAGGTCTTTACCTTCTTGGTGAATATGTTGTTTCCCCCCTCTATTTTTCTCTTCTTTTGTTCTGCTAGTGTTTGAAGGGAAATTAGAACTTTGGACATTCTCATTGAGTACAGTACATGTGTCGCTATCAATGAGGGTAACTAACTCTCAGCCACTGGTTAAAAAGTTATTTGATATTAAATCTAGAGCCTGTTCTTTCTGAAGTGCTTTTTGGATCCTTTTTCTTTAAAATCTTGATTCAATTCTATCTGAGGTAGTAGTAGTCTTTTGGGTACTGTTTCTGATTTCCTTGGAAATCCTAACATTAAAAGCTGTTTATTATCAATTAGGGGCGTTGCTTGGCACTAATTCAAGCTGCATCCGAGGTCCAAGAGCAAGGTGCAGTGGATGACCGGGACACTTTTCTGCATGGTGTTAGAGACCTTTTAAGTATCCATTCAAGTAATGTCCCCATGGTTACATATTTAGACCGGGTTATTGTTTCTATATGGGGTTTTCGTTTAGCTGAAGGATTTTGATTTGTGGTTGCTTTTGGCGTTTCCTTTAGATGCACAGGCTGGTTTATCAACATACGTATCTGCTCCTGGCATTGTGCAACAAATATCTGCTCTGCATTCGGAATTGATGGCTCTTCAATCCGATCTTGAGAATTCTCTTCCTGAGGACAGATATAGATGCATCAATGAGTTGTGAGTTATTCTATTTTGCTTGTATTTTAGAAATTTTATTCAACATTGCTATTGGAAACATAGTTAAATACTTTAGAATTGTGATTTGATAAATTTTGAGTATCTGGTATTTCTTTATTGTGCCAGGTGCATTCTTATTCAAAGTTTGCAGCAACTATTATTTGCATCTTCAACAACTGCACAGCCGATATTGACACCTCGGGTATGTCCAACTATCTGTGCAAAGCCGTGTCGATTTTTCCTGTCATTTCCACTTGAAGCATTATTCTGTCAATTATCATATCCTCATTACACGGCCTTTCATTTGCATGATAAAATTCACGTTCTTTTCTGACATTTCGATGCCCCCTTTTAGCCTCTTATGAAAGAGCTGGATGAAATGGAAAAGATCAATGCAAAGCTCTCTGCCGCAGTCGAGGAGGTTACACTTGAACACTGCAAGAAGAACGAGGTAATCGGAGTTAATAAAACAGTTTCCCTCGTGGATGAAGTCGTGCATATCACTTCATATGATTACAACCGTTTTTCAGTTCCCATTCCAGTATATGCCCAATTTATCACAGTTGAAGATATGTGCTAGAAATTCAGAAAAAGAAGATATGTGCTAGATTTACATAATGGCGGAGAATCTTTTGAGAAGTCCCTCTTAACCAGTGGACGAAAGATTTTTCGGCTGGCATAAAAACTTATTGAATTGCTTGTGTGATTGCATTGAGAATGCTAAAATGTTTAAAATCTCGAAGGTGTTTTTCTAAAATCGATCATATAGAGCTCTGAAAATTTTGGTATGGTATGCAGATTGTAAAACATCACTCGCAAGAGGTTGGTCTTCAAAGGCGGGTGTTTGTGGACTTCTTCTGCAATCCGGAACGATTGAGGAGCCAAGTAAGGGAATTAACTGCTCGTGTTCGAGCTTTGCAAGATTCCTGAACCTTTCTGTTTGGTATATGATGAAAACTATTCGTTTTTGTGTTTGTGAAAATCTGATTTCAATGTTTGATTGTACCTTTTGGTTTGTATTTTTATCATCGCAGTTCTCTACTCTTTTCCTAAGAAAAGAAATCAGAAAAATCATATTTGATTATAGTTATTTTTATTATATTACGTGTGTAGCAAGGCTTTAACGGATTTAACTTGTAGGATAATAAATTTATAGTTTAAAATAGGTTAAAATAATGTATTTCAACATATTTAAAAATAATGCAAAGCAAGTTGGCGGACAGGCCTGACCTTTAAACGACCCCGATACAAGGAGCAGAGTTATGATGCCAAGGGGTTCTAATTTAGTAAAAATGAACATGGCTTTTCAACAACTCGAAATTGTTTTTATTTTGGCCCAATACCTTAAACGGATTAATTATTTAGAGTATTGGGTCAATAGGATTTTATTTTGAAAATACAACATTCTTTATAGTGACACCGAACTCGTCATCTTGAGGTCATAAAATATCCTAGAAGTTAGTCGGTGCCACTGCACGAGATATACAAATGAGAATCGACATTGTTGTTCGATATGTGGTATGTCATACGATTTTTTATTTTTTGTATCTTTTTAACTTTATATATACTAATTTTTTTATATTTAATATTTACAGTTCTCTGGCCTTCTGTATGTTGGCGAGGAGATCAATCAGTTATTGCCAAGTGGATTTTTTGAGAGGTCCCATTTATGGTGTGTTGTTACGCCATTATTGTATTATGCGATTGTTGAGTGGCACGATGCTGATAGAGTGATGCAACAGCTTGCGTCGCATCAGCCGATTCCTACGCAGATGGTGGATATGGAAGCAGTCTATAGAATTGATATGCGTGGGAAACATACTGAAAATTGGCTGGTGAAACACACTATATACATTGATGCATGAAATCAGCGTGAATAAATGCTTCCCCCGCGTCTCGACATTACACAGTTAGACCTAGATTTTGATTATTCTCCATATCTCCAAAATTACGAAGCAAATGGGAAATCATATCTCACAAAATCGGAAGAGAGGGAGAATGGGAACATCATCAGGCCATATACGCCAAGTCCAAGTCCAAGTCCAAGTCCAAGAAGAAAGCATCGTCATCGTCGTCTTCTGCTTCAGCATCTGCACCTTAAGAGTACTATTATGCATCTCAGGCTAGTTTCAGTTTCTATCCTCCATTTCATACTTCAGTCGAGATTCGACCGAACTGGGTTGGAGGTTCATGGGATGCATCGCAATACACTCAAGCATCTTCGACAGAATATGCTGTTGCGGGTGAATGGGACCATATCCTATATGATCAACAAAGTACAAGCCAAGTAGAAGCAGTTACAACAATGATGACTTCAAATGTCATAAATTCATCACCGTATTTCGAATGTGGATTGTAGAGTGTGTTAAGTAAACCTCCTTGTAAAGACGACAACGACAACAATGGCGGCGATCAAAGCCTACGACCCCGGCGTACTCGACGAGCCTCGCAACTTTATCATCGGACCACTTCGCGACATCGTCAAGAACTTAGGAAATATAAATAATTTTTCTTTGTTAATATTTATTTTTTCCAATTATTTAATTACTTTGTATTTTTTAATTTTTTTTTAAATTTTATCTGGAAAAACTCGTCATCTCGAGGTGATGAGTTCCGAGTGACATTTTTCTATGACCGTTGCCCATATAGCTGTTGACCAATAGCTATTTTTTTTAATTTGAAGGAACTCGTCATCTCGACGTGATGAGTTTCACTTAATTTTTTTAATTTGTACTTTTTATTTTATTTTATTTTTGTAATTTTAAAAACTATTTTTAAATAGACTCGTCACGCCGAGGTGATGAGTCATTTTAATGATAATAAAATAATGGCTCAGCCCACTTCACGAGGACAATTTAAAAATAATATCTTCAGGAACTTGTCACCTCAAGATAACGAGTTTGATGTTCACTGTAAATAATGTCATAGTTTTCAAAACAAAGTCCATGTTGACCCAATAACCTAAATAATTAATCCGCTCGAGTATTGAGCAAAAGAAAACCCTCAAAATTAGTGGGGAAAGATGTGAAAAACTCTGCTAGCAAAAATTGTTTTCCATTGAAATAGGTTGATTTATTTGGATCATCATGATGGGAACGAAGCCAAGAGCAAGTTCATTCATTCCCAAAATGTAAAATCGACTAGAGCAGCATATGAAGAAGAGGTATTGGATATTATGTCTCGTTGTCATTCGTTTCTTCCCTTGTAGAAAAACATCTTGTTGAAAAAAATGTTATTGCAAATTCTAGCTACTTATTGCTTAAACTAATCTTATCATCCTCTTTCATTTAGGGGGCAAGTTAATTATGTGAAATCATAGTCTCTAATAAGTTAATGCAGTATTTGTTCTACAATTACTTGCTACAATAATAGAAACAATCTGAACTACCAGGAATATGTCATTCCAAAACATCCTGGCCAAGCAGCATGCATAGCATACGCTTGGGTACCCTCTAACTACATTAGACCACATTAACATCATTAAATCTAATTATCACCCAAATCAAACGAACTATAATGTTGCAACCGGCCTCGATGTCGTTTCCCTTTGCCTTCGGTTGTTTTGTCATTCCATTCTTCATTTTCCGATCGTTTTGTCGGTTGATTTTTCATTCCCTTTTTTATTTTTCGGTCAATTCTCTTTGACATGTTTGATGGGGTTCCTTTTCTCGGTGTCCATGGTCCAATCTTGAGCGCGATTTGTGTTGGGGAAGAGCGGTTTCTCCGGCAACAAAGGCCTCAAAGGACTCGGCCAAGGGTCTTTAATTCGTATGTTTTTTATTCTCGTTTTCCTTTACTAGTTTTTGCTTGCTTTTGTTTCTTTTTTCCCTCTCTTTCGCAAGTCCAAGTCGTTGTTTGTCTTGTTACTTCTTTTTCTAACTAATGCCTTGATTTTTAACTGAGATTCTGATTTGATGTAAAGAAAGAAGAAGGGAGATATCTTTAAAAAAAGATAGCCTAACAAAGACATATGGGGGTTTTACCCCCCAAAAAAGAAAAACAACCACAATGTCGATTCTCTTGTTAACCAAATAATCCCCCCCTAATATACAAAGGGAAGGGTAAGCAATACAAATCACATGCCTTATCCTCCATTCACTCTTCTTCAACTCCTTTAAACTATACTTATTTATATATATAGCATGCACTTGTCAACATCGAAAACTTCACTTTACACAAGTTGGCACCAAGCAGCTTGAAAAGAAGCTCAATACTCTCTTCTGCATCAAAATATAGAGTAAGTTAATAAGATTAAAATGTGGGATGGAGGACACTTTTCAAATCTAATCCCAATATAAAAATATGATCTGATTAATCAGAATCTATGCATAACCTAATTCAATTTCATAATGATTTGAGATTATAATAATCTTATCTTGTTGACTCAAATTTAAAATATTAAAAAAAATATAAACCTAAATTTATGGGATCTAAATTCAACTTGATCCATCTAATTGAGAGGTCACCAAGGAATTCATAATTTTCCTTAATCTATTGAGAAAGTACATACCTACAAATATAACGGCTTAAATTTCAATCTTTCAAGAATAATAATATTTTCGTTTTCCTACCAAAGTGACTCAATAAATCCTCAAACATTTCTATCGTATTATATTAATGGGAGAGCACCTTTTTGGGTTTAGCGTAGAGGACAGGTGAGATTTTATAGAGATCTTCATCAACGGGTTTGGGTTTTGGCCTTGGCATAGGAGCTTCTTCCCAGCTTTGCTTTTTATCTTCTTTGATGTGTGATTGTCTAGCTCTTCCCTGTGAAATTTCCATTGATCATTGCCACTAAAACCCAGCCATGTTCATCAACTCATCATCATCGTTGTAACGCAATTTAAAAAATTTCAGTTTTGGAAATAAAGAGTGGTTAATAACGGAATCCACTCGCATTAAATTGACTTTAGAAATGACAAGATTTTGGTCCCCACCACACCGGAAAAGCAGTTTTTGGCTATGTTTTCTCTGACCTTATGTGGAGAGTTTCTTTCCTGATTATGCTAATAACATTAAATTAACGGAAAGTAAGCTTCTTTCTACAAATTTTCTTCTTCTTCTTCTTCTTCTTTTTCCATTTTGACATTTTTTCGTGAACAATTCAATGCATATACCCTTTCACGCGCATCGACACTGCCGAGTTAATTATGAAAAAAAAAAAGAAACTCAAATGCACATGCAAACAAACAAACTGAAAAACCCAGATACCAGCTTTCTAAAAGGAAGAAAAAAAATGGAAGTCTAAACATGTTGGTTACCCTTGAGCGATGAATCATGATCACGGCAGGCGTAACGACGTCGTTTTGATAGAGATCACCGGCGACGTATAAATCCCGATCCTGAGAGTAGGAGGTGTAACGAAGCAAGGCAGCTTGTCGAGCGTTGTTCCAGTCCCAGGTACCAAAAGCTGGAACATGGCTTCTCCTGTAGTAATCCTGAAACCCAGACCAAAATCAGAAACTTCAAATTATTTTCATCCCAACACCGAAAATATAACGAACACGATGAAATGAAAGCCAATCCACTTACATCCATACTGTGATAAAAATGGAGAGTGAGTGAGAACTCGGAACTCAGAGGATTGACCGAAGAGAGAGCCTAAAATTAGAGGTTTTTCTTCTCCTGGATTGTTTGTTGAGTGTGGGAGTGGGAGCCTGCCAGTTTTAAATCGATGAAAGCAGTAAAATCTCCCGTTGGCGTTTGGTAAAAAGTAAAGGTTTATTATATAAATTGGTACTTGAATTTGATAAGCTTTTTAAATTGATACCTGAATTTATAAAACAAATTTTAAATCAATACATGAACTTATAAAAGAAATAAAATGGACAATTATTTTGATTTAGTCTTTCAACAATCAATTATATTGTTGATGTGAGATTAATCGATTAAAATAATGGTATCATTAAGTAATAAAGACATATTTTGATTGGTTGTTAAAATATTACAATACCACCAACTATCAATTTATAAAAAAATTACAAGTCCACCTGTTAATTTTAAAAATCTTTCTAAATTCAAGTGTTGATTTGAGACAAAAAAAATAAATATCAATTCAAGAAATTTTTTACATTTAGGATCAATTTATATAATAAGCCAAAAGAAAATAACCCATACAGCCAAATTTCACTGTGCACAGTGAGAAACGCATGGACAAAGAGGTAAAAGATAAGCTAAAAGAAAAGATTATTGCTTTTGGTCTGGATTTTTCAAAATTTTCTTTATATCTTTAAACTTTTTTTCCTAAAAAAAAAATTATGTCCTAGTTTGTCGCTGATCAAATGTACACCAATGCTTTGAATCTTGTTTTTTCCCCTTTTGGTTCGTTTTAGAATTCTTTTAATTTTAGTCCTTCTATTATGTTGAAATTTGTAATTTAACCCCTTCAATTTTGTTTAATTTATTCTCTCTAATTCATGATGTTACTTTAAAAATAATAATTTTATATATTCGTAGAATGCGATAACAACTAACAATGTTATTAACTTGAGCTTGCTAAGAATACTATGAAATAGAGATTAAATAAATTCATTGAGTGACTTCAGTAGTAAAAGAGAACGTTGTTCTTCCTATAAGACTTGAGTTTGAACTGTTGCGTCTGTAGGATATATATATATATATATATATATATATATATTAATAATCTGGGATGATTTCAAAATAGTATTTGTTCATAATCTTTTTTAATTATTGACAACGCACACATACTTGCTAGTGTAACTGTTCGAATCTATGACCTCTAAAGAGAGCAACAATCTCCTTAATCACTAAAACCAATTGGTGGGTTCATGTATGCATTATTAGTAGCTAATGTTTTTAATATATGCTACCTTATAATCATTATATATTATTAAAAAATAAATAGAGACCAAACTACAAATATTTTATTTTAAATTTGGTCAGTAATAGGTCAACAACCAAACCTTTAGGGGCCATTTGGATGAGGGAATGTGGGATTCCCCCGGGAATGGAATCTACATTCCCCAGTTTGGTTGGTCGTGAATGTCATTTCCGGTAATGTCATTACCTCTTTCCCTTATGTATTGTAACATTATCGGTGTTTTGGACTAAAATGCCTTTAATTTTTTTTTAAAATATCATTCTTCTGTCATTGAATAATAAAAATTCAACGAAGGTTAAATTACAAATTTATCCTTAAACTATTTTAGATTTACAAAAAAAAGTCTATAATTTAAATTTTATATGAAGTTCAAGGGTTAAAATAAAATTTTATCCTTTTATTAAACATTTTTTTATATTTTTAATTTTGTAAAAAAAATTATATAAATTTTATGAATTTAAATTCTTTAAATAAAATATATAAATATTTTCCAACTTGTAATATTATATAAATATATAATAAGGATAATTTGATCAAATATACATTCTAATAATCTTTTATTCCCCTGATAATCTTACATTCCGTGAATCTTTGGAACAAATGTAAAGCAACAGAGACCATACGAGAGGGTAAGTTATCCAAGGTAACAGTGTTAAAGTTAAAACTGCAGAAGACAAAGTGAAATAGACAAAGTGAAAAATGTATAATAGAAAAGGACGTGTGCGTTCTGGCCTTTGCTTTTACTATTTTATTTCACTAACCCTATAGTTAAATACTAATCCTTTTGTTTTGCTACCATAATTTTAGTAATTACCAATGGTGAAAAATAATCCTTTTCTTACACCAGAAGAGGATAAAAGGGAGAAGTAGGGCGGGGATGGGGTAGATTTGAACCAATTACCACTTCATGACACTAATATCATCAAACTTTAAGAATCAAAATTTATAACACTGTGTATCCATTTTTGTTCCTTCTCACTTTTGATCCATTTAATTTTGTTTTCAATTTAGCGCAATGCAATTAATTTTAATTTTGAATATTTTATATGTTGTCTCACTTGTCCCAAGTTGCAAGTAATGTTTTTCTATAAGTTTGGGTTAAATACAATATAATATTTATTCAAATAATCAATTATTTGATAATGAATACTCATACCCCTGTTTATACGGTGTTCGAACCCTCAAAAGATAACAATAGTTCATTAACCACTGAGATTGTTTGGTTCGTATTGCAAGGGATGTGTTTACGTAGATATGTAGATTAACATTGTGCATAAAAATTGGTTAATTAAATGTGTAATATAATACATGAATTTGGATTTTGTATAATTATATATATATAAGAAATTTTGATGTAATTTAATTTTAAAATCCGTTATCGACCACTCGACGTAGCACCATTTTATGTTTCCGTAATACATACACAAATAATTATGTTTATTTAATCTGAACATAAAAGAATGTGTTTATTTTTATAATATCTGTAATAATATTGAAATTAAGGTTCTATGTGCATATTTAAATAAAATTAAAGTTTTATATGTATGGTTGCAAAAAAGAAGCCATATATCACATTGTATATTTGATCAAATTTCGTATATAATTATGATATTTGTCTCATTTAATATAAAATTATGTCATATTCGTAATATGAATGAAATAAAATAAAGTTTTATTTAATGTAAGTTCATAAGTCATGTAGTAAACGATTTATGTATAGTTTTATAAATCTCATATTATGATAACGTATGTAATGTTTGAACTTAAAACCTCAAGATATAACACAAATATTTTAACCATTGTGTATAGTACGAAACTAAATTAAAAGTGTGAGAATAAAATATAAAGTATACAGTCTGCTGTCAAGTGTGACTAGAGAGGGAAGACAGAGGTGGGGCTCTAGCACTTGTTTACATCAATTTCTCTTTTATTTTGTCTTTGATTCCGTTGTATGCGAATCGCAACTATCACCATCTTTTCCATTTCTCTATAACCTTATTTGCCTCTCAATTTCTTCATAAAAATAACACCAACTTAATTGGCCTCTAAATTAGCTAATACGTCCTCGGATAGTGTTTTTCTTTTAATGAATCTTTTTCAGGCAGTTAAACATAAGACATAAGCACCAAAACAGGTCTTTATATAAAGGTCAGTGTATTACTTACCACTCTATTTATTTAGACCTAGATGTATTTGCATGTAAATTGGATTGAGAGGTCACTCTCATAATGATTTTTTTTAAAAATATATAATAGAAAATTGAATACAAATAATTAAAAAAAAAACTATGTAATAGACAGGTAAAGACATATTAAGCCATTTGAAGACAAAAACATCTTCGTCTTCTTAAAGAAAATTGAAACGAAAAGGAATGAAAGCAACGCGAGGTTCCATAAATACACGAATTCCCTCTTTATATATTCCCTATATTTTGTCCTCTATGGTTCTGACATGCTCTTTAACAATACAATTACAACACATTCCATCTCCTATATCTTTTCAGGGTTGGTATATACTGCGCTCTCTTTTTGCTTGTCTACATTTCGCTGCTTTCTTCTTCCGAATCAATTAACATCAGATTTGTCAATTTCATATTTAGGGTTTACAATTTTTCACCATTTTAATCCAAGTCAATTTTATGTTCAGATTGTCTCATCCTTTTAAGTTTAAGTTAATTTCAGGTTCAAGCAATTTCATATTTAAATTCTTAAGTTTAGATTACATTCGATTTTGACTGTTTTAAGTTCATATCATTTGTTCAAATTATTTGGATTTTAATTACCCTAATTCGAATTGTTTTGAGCTTAGATTAAACGGTTTTCGAATATTATTAGTTTTTGTTTGTCGATGGAAGAAATCAAATTGTGGCAATTTTAGACTATTTCACCTTTTTAATTTGAGTGAAGAGTCGTGCTTGGTGGTACTAATAAGTTGAAGAAGATTATGTACAATATACAACGAGAGATCAAAAGTGAGAGAATGTGTGTTTTCAGTGTTGGTGTTAAATTTAGGGCGATGATAACTATTTATAGTCGATAAAATTGAGTAAACTTAATTGCCACATAAATGATTTAATGAAGATGAGATTAACAATATAGAGGATTTTCGTAGGCCCTTGATAGGTGAATGATTGTCAACTATTATAGAGAAGGTATAACACTCCTCAAATCAAATTAGATATATGTATAAATTTTGATACTTGATTATATCTGAATCACTAAAATAAATAAAATAAATTTGAATAACATTTACAAATGAAACAAATCAAATTATAATTAAAATAATATTTCCATAAAATTAATATTTGAATGATCGTACTTTTTTTATTTTTTTATTAAGTAGAGATATTAATAAATACCAAAATTCAAATTTAATAAGATAGAATAATAGTAGAGATATTAATAAATACCAAAATTCAAATTTAATAAGATATAATAATATGAACATCTTTGATTGATAATTTTTTTTTTCTAAATTACAAGTACATTACAACTTGAACCAAAACACTATCATTGGGATGGAAATAAAAATGGATCAAAACTTCTTGGAGGCCTGAAGTGAATTTATCTTAGTCCACTTGATTTGGATGCAAGCCTACTCCACTCTTATTGGGAAAGTGATCTTGCAAATCCAAGGAAGTTTTTACATCGAAGCTATCCAAAAAAACTATCTTTTAAAAGCAAAAAATTCCAGATTTCAGATATATTCCAATACCCCAAGGTAGAAAATGTTGCAGAGCAGTGTCTTCTTCATAAACCCTCCTTGTTCGTCTCCAAATCTTT